CATCACTGCTATCAAAGGACCTCCAGTGATAATTTCGCTATCACGTGGCATCGAGAATTTTAAAACGTGCATGGACAGCGTTGTAGAGACGTGATTAATCATTCTACAGCATACTCTCTTTTGGCTACTCCAAAAATCATGTTTCCCATATTCTTCATCTTGTTGCTCGCAAATAATTTGTTGTAAAATGAATTCGGCAAATGTTGAACGTACTGTAAAATTTGAATAAAGGCTGATAGTTTCGAAAGAAACTGCTTGGGGCTGCGTCGGTGGGGGTAACGAATAATTTGGATATATCAACAAAGTTGAAATGGTAAATTGGCTACCTTAAGTGGCCAATGTACTGGTGGCCAATTTACCATTTCAACTTTGTAAAATTTGAAGGTTATTTCATACCATCCAAAGGAGAAAACTATTTGTCATGATTGGAGTAATTTGTTATACCTAGCAACACTGGAAGTTTGTGTGAATATTTCAAGGCTTTGTTATGTTAATAAGGATAATAATAATCTATAATAATAAATTTTTAAATAGTACTCAGACTTGAACCAGGACATAATTATAGGAAAATCTTACTTTATCCTTCTGCAGGTATCAGAGAAGCCAAAACGGCGAGAACGAAGCAGTAGAATGCAAAGGGCATGTTCCCAGTTAATGCCCGTTATAATTTTCTCGAGTCAGGCAATTTGAGCTAGCTGAACTTTAATCTGCGCTCAAATACACCTCATTCTTTCTTTATTTATAAGGTTGTCAAGGGTCATTGTTATGACTCTTGCCCCTTGGTATGTTGAGTTGGAGAACCCAATGCAGGCGTTCTTTGCCTTCAGCGCGCTAAAAGTTGTTTGTATTTTCGATCAAAGTGTGAGGAAATATGCTTAGAAATGTTAGATTGTAGTTGTACCTTTTTATTCAGCGGTCGCCACATGTACCTGTTCAGACACACAAGGTACTCGAGTACCATACCGTAAAAACGACATTTGGTAAATTCTCGCTTGTGCAACTTGAAGTTTGTTTGAATCTTTTCTTCTTTGGAAGCTTCGCTAACATGGTTTGTGTATAGAGATTACTCTGCGTTTACGATTTTTATTTACGAATTGAGCAATATAAGCCCTCAAGGATTTCATGGTAATTCAAACTCCCAAGTTTACAAGGCTAAAGAGCCAACCAAGGGGAAATATACATTAAATTTAATTTTACAGGTATTTGTATAGTTTCTCTTTACGTTTTCTGAAAGCTTAACCGTCAGTCGTCCTTTCGATCCTCGGTTAACCATTGGTGCTACAAGTACTTTCATATTTATCTATTATGCCAAAAAAAGTATTAAAATTAGCCTGACCAACATTTCTCTACAAGTGGTTAAATGAGTGCGAAAAAGATTTGAACATTCCCTCTTACTTTTTCTAACGCTTTTTTGTCAAAAATCTGCTATCCGGGTTTGCATGCCGACCTAGGCAGGAGTAAAAAAACATCGCCATGCTTTGAAAACTTTATCTACAGTCACAAAGACACGCGGGAGGTTGCAAGACTTGTCAAGGAGTTACAAACAAATCCCGATGTTTTGCTAGATTTGACTAAACTCACAAAGACACAGGAAGTTGCAAGTCCCGTGCAAGAGTCACATACAAATTCCGATGGTTTTCTAAATATGACTAAACTCACAAAGACTTCCGGAAGGTTGCAAGACTTGTAGAGGCACCATTACGCAAATAAAATGTTTTGATCATCATCTTGTCGTATGCTTTATCTTTCACCACACATAGCCGTAGCTTTTCAAATTCTACTCTTTTAGGAACTCACAAAAAGCTTCAGTACATTCAAATAACTTTAAAATTTTATTCTCAATCTATGCATATTTTTACAGCAATTATAATTTGCAGAATAAACTTAAATACTCAGAAGTGGCGGGGAGCTCGGTTCTAGCAACTTGAAATTTAAAATTTTGAAATGATTTTAAATTTAAGGAATAACAAATTAGCCCAAAACACGCTTCTTGCCCCCCAATTTGCCCTCTCACTTTTCGTGTTATCTTCAATCTCCCGTTTAGCTCCCTTAATTTTCCCTGGAACTTATTCGAAACTATTTTATGCTTTAGTTAGAAAACAGACGCTAACTGATCGTTTTGTCAATTGCCATCACCTTGTTTGTTGGATGATGTATGGATATCATTGGGAGGAATGACTTTGAAATTTCCCCCCCCCCCCTTTGGTGGCTAAAAAGAATGTTCATTAGGAGTTCACTGCATTCAAAAAATAAATTATGACATGGCTGTTAAATGAGATTTAGTGCTAGATGAGTGTAAAACATCTCAATTGCACATTTCATTACCAGCAGTGTGAAGTGGTCAAATTGACTTTCTCACCTCCAGGATCTAAAATTTAACTCTCCTTATTGGTTATCATAGATTTCTTTGTGGGTTAGTCATGGGAATCTTTCATGATTAAATCCAAACAATATCCTTACTTGGGAGTTATCTTTGATAGTGTGTTCAAATGCAGACTATAATACCCTTGCAACAATGGATAGTAAGAGAGTTTGAAAACCCACATAATGGGAAAAAATCACGTTTGAAATAAGCTCTTCGTCAGAGATTTCAATTTTTTCTTCTACTCAAGAGAGGCCATAGTTCACCTCCACATCTCCCATGCATACTTTATTCTTATTTCATCAATTTTCCCTTCAGCCTTTCACATTTTTAAAAATAAACTTAGAAGCAAAATAACTTGGAAAGTGTTAAACTTGTATGCTACGCATGTAAAACATAATAAATAAACAAAATGGAAGATCTGTGCAACAACAAAACCTGAGAAATTGCAAAGCTCTAATTCAAATTGAGTAAAAGAAAAATAAATTACATCAGTCAGTTATTTTAGGCAGCTTTAATCAGAAAAGTTCTCTCCCCAAAGATTAGAAACAACTTTGGTTTCGCCAAGACGTTTATGAAGGAACAAGATGTACTTGACAATGGCAATATTTATATGTATGTCTTCATCTTTGGTCTTTGTTATTGTAATTGTTGCTGCTGCTGAAGGTGGTGGACACTTTCAAGGAAAGCATCCAAATCCACACCTGGCCAATCTAGAGAGAAACAAATTAATAATGAAAAGACAACATACTAATCATAACACTTCACAATTATTCGCCGAAGGCGAAGTGAATATTCACCAATAATCACGAGCCTGAGGTAAATAATTGTTTTAGTATAATTACTCAGGTGATTATAGAAATGAGCAAAGGAATGTTAAATTTTATTTGTCATTGTCACACGTCAGTGAACAACTGAGTGAGAGCCGCTCGCACGGACAACAGACTATTTCTCTTGTAAAAAGTCCCGTCTTTCATCCTGACCGAGACATAATTTTTGACAAATATTTACTCATCTTGTTGACCTCCATTGCCTCAAAGTCATTGGTAAATTCAGTTTGTTGTTGAAACCATTCTGTTAAGTAAATAAAGTGTTTCAAAAATTTAATGTAGTTGTTTTGATTCTATTCATGCATGTCGACATAAACAAAATTTTCCCAGGAATTTAAATGGTTTCTTTGTTACGTAGAGCACAATTTTCACACCTTACCTTTGAAGAGTGTCATTCCAAACTTTGTGGCGTGTTTGGTATTCCTCAGAATGGCATTTTCCTTTACTAAATTAATTTCCTCTTGAGACACATTGACAAAGACGCACGAGGCAGCCATTTTGAAAATTTGTCCTTCCGCTATAATCACCTTGCTCGAGGTGATTATAGCGGAATATGATGCTTTTTCGGCCAATAAGAGCATGATAATTTCTATAATCACTTGAGTAATTATACCTAAGACCTGTATCACTTGTTTATTTGTTTGATCTAATTTCAAGAACAAGGGGAACACTTGACAAGTCATGGAGAGTCTTTTTAGGAAGCCATAGAAAATGTTTAGTAATTTAGATATTGAGTAATTCGGCTTAACGTGGAACCAGTAAAAGAACAAGCTCCTTCAGGTAACTGATTTAAAAAATGTATGGATTTCTCCAGTTGTTGCTTGGGTCAATCTAAACATTATCAACCATACCTGGTTTATCTGGATTGCGATCAACGTATTGTGTAATTGTATCTAATGAAAAATTGCAACAAAATAAATTGTGATTAAGCTTATTGTCCACCTACTACAAAGCAATCACAAACATAAAAGATCTTTCTCTTGCTGAATATGTCTTAGCGGGAGCAAAATTTTCATTAAGATGCATGAACATAAGAAAAGGATTGAATATTTTCTTATGATTCTGATTATAAATGACACTGCTTACCTTTCAGAGGGATATTTAATCTGGCATACATAAACACAGTCATTAAGACATAGAAACTCTTTCTATTCTGGTTAATGGTTGCTCCAGTTCTAGTAATTTCTTGCTCTTGATATACTAAAATGGATTCTTTAAATTATTTATCTGAGCTTCATTTGTGTTTTCACTCGATAATAACCCTATTATGATTACATTATAATCATGAATGTACATGATCATTCTTACACCAGTGGGTGCCAAGCATGAGTAAAAGAGTATACCTTTTTGTACCTTAGTTTTGTTTGGTGCAGTTCATGTAAAAAAAAAAAGATAAAACACAAAAAAAGAACAAAAAATTTTTTCTGTTCAGTAACCTAAAGTACAAATCCTGCTCACCTTTTCTTGACTTTAACTCAGCTTCACACTTTCTCCATTCTGCAAGTGAAATATTCATAGCTGAAGTTAACTTTTAAAGAAGGTACATGTTGAGGTTATGATGTGATGTGCAGTCAGAGAAAGTGGTGCTGATGAAATCTTACAAAAGAGATTTTCAACAGAAAAACAAGCTAACAACAAAACCAGTATTGTAAAAACAAAGCCTTAACATTTTCAGTACAGCTACTGACAGCAGAATTAAGTCCTAATGTAATTCCAAAACCTTTCAGGAAATGTTCATATCTCTGAATTAATAAAAGATACTGATAATAACAATAATAATGAAAGAGTCATTACATTCCTTGTGATAAATCATTCATTACAGTACCTCTTTGTAAAAAATCTACATTCTTTTTAAATTCCAGATCTGCGGGACTTGCATTTGAATCTCTTTTAAGGGAGGCATAAGGACTGTTACCATTTACATGTGATGTACCGGGAGACCCTGATCTTAGAGGTCTGCAATATGAAGATACTCTTTCAGTGTTATTACTTTTAAAAGGTACGTTTTTCAGATCAGTTCAAATACATAAGGCCATGACCACAAACTGACGCTGCTGTCTTTCTTTTCTTTTATTCCCTTGCCCTGGTATATATCAGTATATGATTGTTTAAGCTTAACCATTCAATTCCTAAATAATTTATCAAGAAAAATGTTCTAGTAAAGTCCATTATTTAGTGCAAAAAACACCCAACTGAACTTTCATTTTGGTTCCGTACAAAATATTACAGCTTTGCGTAGTTTAGTTGAACAGTTGTTCTTCGAATTGCCAATAAATGAATGGTACGTATTAACAGACTCAAAAACTCTCTTCGGCGATTAAGACCTCTAAAAGTGTGTGGTTAAAGTTAACTTAACTTGACTCGACTCGAAATATAAACTGCATGATAGAAATGCAAATCACTTACTGTCTCCAATTCTGATCCAAGTGCCGCTCCTGGTGCCGCTCCTGCGTGGATCTGTGTCCTACATGAAGCAAAGTTAAGAATATGAATACCGTTTGTCAAATTGCCATAGCCATAAGATAAAGAAATCATTCAGCTAAAATAACGCCAAATTACCTTTTCTTTTTCCGTGTGACATACCAGGTGCCGCCATTTGTTTTCGCGTTCCCGATATCGCGGGCGCTTTCATAGTCACGCTATTCATCAAGACGAGGCTGAGTCATCGTTGTCATGTGAAGTCCAACTTTTATATGATCATGTGAGAAATTCTCAAAACAAAGCCCTTCGATGGAAAAGTTTGACCATCCTCACAACCTGTTTACCAGTTTAAGAGGAAGTATGAGAGATCCATAATTTTAATAGATCTGGAAAAAAATTCAACTCCCACTTCATTCATTTGATATCAAGCCCGTATGAGAGCTTTTATTGTTCAAATGACCGAGCGTTTTTATCCCTTCCCGTACCTCTGCAGCCCCGGCGATCCCTAAATTTCTCTGTAAGTAAGCGGCTGACTTTCGCCTCATACCAGGAACGATAGATGCAAAAATTCCCCTCAGAATGAGATGGTATCGAGCCGGTGTTGGAAATGCAATCAGGTCTAAATCGTATTCTTTTCTCATATTTAGGTCAGTGTCTAGATTGCAGTAAATGGTTTGAACCCGGGGGTAACATGTGAAGGTGTAGTCTGATCGTCCGGGTGAGTGTAGTCCTGAGAAGGACTGTTGTCGGTGGTAGTGACTGACGTTTCGACAACCTGTGCGGAAGTAATCATCAGACTATGATTGTTGTCAGTAGAATGATTGTAGAACATTCTACTGACAACAATCATTCACTTGACTCTGATGATGACTTCCGCACAGGTTGTCGAAACGTCAGACACTACCACCGACAACAGTCCTTCTCAGGACTACACTCACCCGGACGATCAGACTACACCTTCACAGTGTCTAGATTATTACCCATACCTTGCATGTACAATCATCTCTAAATTAAATAAGTAAAATTCCTGATATTTCTCTTCATAAAAAAGCCAGTCTCGCAGAAATTTTAAAGTTCTTGAGACTTAAGACTGAATTGAACGTAGGTTGTTCTAACGTGATCTGAACGATCTGAAATCAGGTAGGATAAGCCTGGCCTAAATGGTTCGGTATAAATGTAATCGAAAGTGTGTCGTAATTTAAAATGAATCAATATAAATTGATCGTAGAAATAAGGCTTCAAAAGTGCAGAGAATTCTGAAATATTTCGGAGAAAAACTTTTTTGGGTTTTGCTTCAATGTGGAATGCAATACGCGGCATCAGTTGGACTTGCGAAACAAGCCACCCTTGCCAACTTTGAAGGTTTTGGTGTACGTCTGTCTCAGTGGGTGATTCTCAGTGTATGTAACAAATAATTGTTAAAGAGGGTTCTTTGCATTGTAGTTTACCAAATTTCAACCGATATTTTGACTAGTTCCGCTAAATTAGTAAATGAATGCTGGGATAGGTTTAGGCACGTGACGTCATCGGAAGGGATCGCCATGTTGGATTTACTAAGCGTTTGAGACGATTGAGTCTAGATATCAAAAAAATTGATGAAGGGTTTTACAGATACACGAGGGACAACGCGTTAAAATGCCAAAAGAAGAGGAGAAGGAGTACCTTAAGATACTGGGAGTGGATAAATGTTCACCCGAAAGTAGGTTTTTCTGTGGTTATGTTTACCACTGTGCATCCTACAAGCGATTCACTATCTAGGAACTTCCGACTTGAAGTGGGCGATGGAATACACGCTTACTAACGAATTTAAGGCTAAAATATAGTTAGGTGTACTCCAAAGAAAATTTCTTTGAAGTTGTTATTTGTTGGTGCTTGTTATATTCGTCGGTTTACCCTGAATCGACCATTATTTTTCAGATGAATTCGAAATCAAGCGGGCATATAAGAAACTTGCACTCCAGTTTCACCCTGACAAGGTAAGGTTACGCTATATAGAATTTCATTTGTGCAGTCGTTGTTACTCTCTTTTTTTCAGCAAAAGTACGTCACTTTTCTTAAAAGTCTACCTTTATGTCTGTTATTTAGTATTTACATTCCAGCATTCTTTGAAACTTTCTCTTTGCCAAGTTGATAATTTAGTCTCACTCTGTTGACCTTGCTTTCACTTTTCAGAACCAGAGCGACTTCTCGGCAAGCAACTCAAAAAAGCAGTTCGATGAAATCAGCAAAGCTTTCGAATCTCTCACGTTAGGTAACAGCGATTTTAACTGTGCATTCAATTATTTGCAACTACAGATCATGGCAGTTTCATTAATTTGGTAGATCTGTTAATATGACTTTCTAATTTTGTATCTGGCCAGAATTGCGTGCCTTCCAATTATGTATGACTATTAAGTTTCAGACAGCGAAATCTTTGTTAGATTTTGCGTAATGTACCGTACTTTTTTTCTTTTACACAGAGTACAGAAACGATTCAAATCGACCAGACTACGATCAGGTAAAATTCATGTGATCCGTTTTATTCAAACTGAAGAGTTCTCCCTTGAGAGAATTCTTTATGATGTACGCTATTTTACACAAGATACAGTTATGTTGAACATGAAGGATTGGTATTTTTCTACAGATTTTCTTTGACTTCTTACGCGATATCTTTGACTGGAAAGAAGGTAAGTCGATTTGCAAAATACTTCCCTTGTCGCTGTACTCTTTAAGTGCAACGTTTGGTGTTACACATGTTTGGCTTTACCCTACTTAACACAATGTCATCCCTGCCACTAACAATCCAAGATTGACACGTAAACATTACACAAACCCCAACCGGAATCGGTTAACTCACGTATTGTTTAGCTGCAAACAAGCCATCCTATATTTAACAGATATTTTAATAAAAGTGTTGGTTTATATGAGAATTAATAATTTTTTCTTCGATGTTGTTGTAATGGATGGACTTCCTAGGAAATCTAGTTAAATCAATTAGCAGTCACGTTTTCATTAACTGTTCACTTAGACAGTATGAAGATCATGCAGCTTTTATTCTTGAGGTGGTCTCTGTAATATTTCAAGTTTTTCAAAAAAAATATTGACTCTTAGATTATTCTTCCATTTGTTTATGTAACAACTAGCTTTGTGCCTGTTTGTTTTTGTGCTCATAAGTGATTATGGGAGAGTGGTTATCATCAGTGATTGTTTGTATAATGTTAAAAATGTGTGAGAGTACTTTATATTCATAAATTAAGGTATGATTAAAACTTTTTTTTTTTTGTTCATCCCTAGATGCAGAAGGAGCTGGAACTAGTAACTTTCTTACATATTTCTGTAGTTCTAAGCAGCACCCATGTTCATCTGATGGAGATTTTGAGTCTAGGTGAGAATGAAGTATCATTGTTATTAGTCTTTTTAATAGCTAATTTTTTTTAATTTCTTTTATATGGATATTTCACCTCTCTTTAGGTATAACAGTGCCTTCCTTTTTACAGTGGATAACTGCTTTGTTCTTTTATTGTCTCTTACAGTGCTGTAATCGAAAAGTGATTTCGTCTTGCGCACTCCTCTTTTGTTTCCAAGTTACTTGTGAGAATTAACATTGCGTTAAAACAAATTTCTCGAGTTTATAGTCACATCTGTTGTGCTCTTTGGCTCCATGATGTTTTGTGGATATTGTACATACTGGTTGCCTTTGAGAATGTCAACTGAAATATTACATTCAAACTTCTATTTAACAATTATTCACAGAAGGCGAGGTGAATATCGTCGAATAATCCCTGAGACGAAGTCGAGGGGATTATTCTACGATATTCAACGAACCTGAGGCGAATAATTGTTTTAGTATAATTTCAGAGCTGAACAACAGAGAAATTTCCAAAATCATAAGATTTTAGCAACATTTATTAACATTTTATTTTAACATTTTATACAAACCGCATGGAGCGGTTTATAGTGTCATATAAGGAACCGCTCGACTAATCAGATTGCTGGAAATTCTTTGCTCAGCTCTGAAATTATACTAAATTGTGATACTTATACTTTTCTCATAAAACAGATACCCAGATACTGAAGAGGATGAGGACATTGATGGAGAGGGTGACTTGGATAGTATCATGGAGATCATCAAGGTAACATTTTGCTCATTATAGTTACTTCACGAGTGCTTGGTTTGTATGAGATTGATGACTAACCTATATCCTGGTTCACCTTAGGGCTAATACTCTTCCTTTTTTGTTTTTTTCATGTATTATTTTATTGATCTCCTAGCCTTTGTATTATTTCTCATACTTAACTTCATTATTATAACCCCTTTTAACCGTTATCTTTATCTTTTAACAGCTTATGGAAAATTGTATTTTTTCAGAAATATCTCATTCTAAAGATGAAATTTCAGTCTGATTTTGTTTACATGGTTCTTCATTGTTTTTAAATTCTAAGGGTATCTTTAACATTGTTTATATCAGAATCGCAAAAAGAAAGGCAAACCTGTTCCTGAAGAGTTCAAAGAAGAAAATGTAAGTGTTTGATAAAGCTAAAATGTTTGTTGTCTTTTATAGTCTTTCTGATATTGATTTGAAAAATTGTTATTTTTAGCTGATGGGTATGAAGAACAAATTAAATCAGCACAAAGAAGACATGAAGAGAGATGCAACTAAAAAGGTAATGAAGGGTTATAATTATGTTTGTTGCTTGAACCCTGACAGTTCTGTTTTGTGAAGAAAGTCATCAACATCAAATTATTATCTGGAAACATCATTAGGTCCTATTTGGCATGAAATGATAAAGAATATTGCGCGCCCCCCCCTGCTGAATGGGATGCTGGTCCATATCAAGGTTCCCCTTAACATTTCATCAGGCTTCCCTGACAATTCACAGGTATCCGTTAAAACTCCTGGGTTGAGAGGGGCAGTGGGAGAATAAAGTGTCTTGGCCGGCAACGTAACTAGTCCGGCCAGGTCTCAAAACCCTGACCTCTCAAGCCAGAGTTCAGTGTAGTGACCAAAAGGCCACTGAGTCTCCCCCAACATACATATCCTACTACACTGATCATCCCAGCCTGTGTATTTATTTTTCCAACAATTTTGACATCTCCAGAATTTGCTGGCTTATCTTTTCTGTACTGTCTTACTACATGAACTTGTAACTTAGAGATTTTCAAAATTGTAGTCCTCTCTGTTCATTAATATCTTGTCCTTTGCAATTTTCAGCAGTCAAGCAA